ATATGGAAACTGTAAGATCTCTTCTGACTCTGAAGTCACTTTTCAGTTAATGGATCTCTTTAATGTGAGCCAGAAAAGCGAGTTGATTGCCCATGCAGCAGGACTTTCATAACATAATTTCATCGCCACCCTTCTCCGAGATCATGTCATACTTTCTACAATTTTCCAAGGAAGAAACACAGAGCTTAGTAACAAACCTAATTTAATAGAAGAAACACTGGCAACATTAACCTTTTTGCATTAGACTTGTGCAAGTTGCAGAAATCGAGTCACGAATTTCACTTGTACAACAATACATGTGGTAACTCTGAGATTTCTTAACGTATCCTCTCTAAAACTGGCAAGATTTTGTTAAAGAGCATAAGTATCTTGCATACAAAGAATGACATATTATAACTAAGTTTTTACTAAAAATATGTTTTTTTTATTGTAGTTACACTCAAACTATTAATAAATTGACTAAAAGGTGATTTTCATTTTAAGTATAAATATATTTTTCTCCATTTTACAGTTTTTATATTTCATTTGCATAATCTTTAGAACCTCCAAAAAGGATATCAAAATTTTTTTTAAGGTAAAGGTTTATATTTTATTTTTCATTTTCTCTACCCAATCACTAACTCTAGCTATTATCATCAACGTACAATGCAATGAAATAATCAAAATTAGGAAATAGAAAATAAAAACATACTTTAATCTTTTGTAGAATATCTTTAAAGATTTTTCTTTTGTTAAATTCATAATTTCAGGTAATTTCCTTTTCACATATACTTAATTTTTAATCTTTTATTTTTATTTCTTGTCCTTTTAACACTTATTATTCATCTTGACACAAGATTTGTTTTTCTTTTCACCAAAGGTAAAACTGAAAGTAAAATCTACGATGTAGAAGCCTAATGCATTCTTTGATTTGCCATACCCTCTGTTAGGACTGTACTTTCACCTATTCAAAGCTCACCAGCAGCTTGGAACAGCAAACCAAAGTACATATAGATTTTGGCATGGTGGGAGTCATCTTCAGCTGAGATGGTTTTATTTTTCTAACAGAGTGGTTGGCCTTTGGAATGGGTTGCCTTCAGATGTTGTAGAGGCGGTGAATTTGGATGAGTTTGGGAAAAGGCTTGATGGATATGCGAGTGAGAGGAACTGGGTTTAAGATTTTTTTATTTTATTTTTTTTAATCATTTTGATTTGGTTTTGAGGATGGAACAGCCGAGATGGGCCAAAGGGTCCTATGTTGTCCCAAAATTTGTTATGTTAATGATGATGTGTTTATAATATGGGGTTTGTGAGTCCCGTATACTAACCTAAGATTTCCATTTATTTTGTCTACACTTATCATAACACAATTCTTGAATACCAAAACATGTATACATATTGGAAAGTACAACAGGCTACTGATGAAAACACAAAAAAGTTCTTAAACCAGAAGAAAAATTTGAAAAAATATTTGGAATAAATTCATATTACTTGTCTTGCACAATCTTATGATTTCAATTTTAACACGAGAGACTAAATGTCCAAAAAAAAAATCTCAAAATATATTTACTTTGAAAGTTTTTCACTTTAGTGCTATATTTTCCACTAGGAGGAGCATACATTTCCCGTTCTCCTTTATTTACTGGTGCTGCCTTCTTTGCTTGTTTGGGATTTTCATCAAAATTAATGGGTGTTCTTTCTGGCCTTTTTTTGCTATGGGGCAAGAAAAAAAAAACTCACACAAGGTAAAACAAAGTCAGTGAAGGTGACAAAAACAACTGGCTAAAAGGAAGTTTTTAGAACACAAGAAAAATAAATGTTTAAACTATGTTGTTTATTGTAATTCACTTTTGCTACAAGTATCTCGACAGTCTTAGTTGCTTTTTTATTCTGATTATAAAATGTGAAGTTAACTGAATATTAAAGAAAAAAATGTGTGACAAGTATTACAAAATTACCAAGTAAAAAAGAATATTTAAAATATAGGAGCTGTATAATCTGAATGACAGTTTAAAGTGATAACTAAACTTTCAGAATATTTACAGTGCTTAAATATATATTAATATAGCAGAAAACCAAATCTGTCCAATATGAGAAATTATATTAATCTACTTACCCACTAGTATTGGATTCAAGATTTTTCTGAAATAAAAAATAACAAAAATTATAAAATATTTAAAAAGTAGATCTTGATGTTGTATACAGAAGGCAGTTCTCCGAAAAGTAATAGAAGTTCTTAACCTATTTATAGCTTAGATAGAAAGCCACATAAATTATAGTAGTTTTGGGAGATTCTATTTTAGTGCCAGATACATTTTTTGTGTCGTAAGATTCATATTTGAAAGCTACATGAATTAAGTTTTTGAAAATAAACAACAGTTCGAAAAAAGGCTTACAAAAGCAGGTGCCTGAGTGCAAACTGGCCTAAGGCTAAGATAAGGGCTAAATTTTTTATGCATATTTCTTATTGACAGTTACAGATTTTTTTACCAAAAGCAACTAAAATGTAGAAATCAAAAACTTGAATTACGTTAGATAGGAAACAACAACAAAAAATTAATAATTTTTGTGATCACTCCTCAAAGAATGCAAGAGAATTGCATGTATTTAGACAATGCATGAGGTAACCTGAAAATCTGGTTCTTAATACGTATCTAACTACTCAATCAGTACGTACTCCAACGAAGCTGTAAAATAAAACGACAGGTATCAAAGCAAATGAACCTTGGAGTAAAATATAATTTTTACTTATTTTGATTTATTTTACTTATTTATCTTCTATAAACCAGTCTTCACAGTGTTAATTAAATATTAAATAACTTACAATATATTTATATAAGTGAAAAGATATTTGAATAGAATCTAGAACTACAGAAATAATGTAGTATCGGAGACTTAGAGATTTTACTGACAATGCTAATCATGATAATATATTAGTACTCAATAAAATCAGAGGAAATAATACTAACAGTTGTTGTAATACTTGGTACCTTCCACGACAAAGTGACTGTACTCTTGAAGGATGGAGGACTGTGGAAGAGATCTCTAATAAGAGTGTTAATGTTTGAAGTTGTTTTCAAGGCTACAACTTTGAGCTTGTTCTGAAAAATAAAAATTACTGATAATTACTTTTCTTCAGTTTACGATTATTTTCAGAATACCTTATCCGTTATATAAACAAATAAAACAATTACTAACACTGTAATTTGATACGAGTTGCGTAACAAGTAAATATGCTGCTTAATCACCTGAACACAGATTTTAAAAGCCACTTGATAATAACAAAAAACATATAGAAATACTAGATACACCACATAAATGGCATTATTTGATTGTATAACTCTCAACATCTTAAGTCTGAAATAATCATTTACAAACAAACAAAATACAAACTTGGATTACCCTCTTATAATTGTAAGAGGAATTAACGAAAAACATTTTTTTTTCTAAGTACCCTAACATCCATACTGAGGGATTGACTATTAATCTTATAGTTCTTAAAGTACAGAAAATATTTTGTGATATTAATGGATTTGAACACCAATACTTCATGTGCTTAATATTAATTCTTGCCTCATCTGTCTTTAGTTCTTCTTCTTTCTTTCCTTGCAATGCTGCTCTTAGTTTTTTAATGTATCCCTGAATTCCCTGAGCCAGATACTGCAATCTAAGAAAAAAAAAGCTCTATTTTCATTGAGAATTCTGTATCATTTAGTGACATTTTAACAGGCCCTTCACGAGCCAGTGGGGGACATTTTTGTTAGAAAAAAAAAAAAAACTACCAAAGACAGTTTTTCTTAATTTGAAATGAAATTTTTTGGACGTGTTTATTGTCTAAAAAGAAGGCATTTCCCACACTCTTTTAATGTTGGAGCTGCAAAAAGTGATTTCAAATGGTAAGGTGACTGAAATCCGTCAGTGCATCATAAGCTTAACAACCAAGCACAAGAAGCATGGAAGTCTCCAAATGACATGCAGAGGTATTCAGGAACCGTTTAGAACCACCTTGGTAGATACTGTGCAGCAAGCTGAGTACAATATTATGCCTTTAGCTGCTTTCAAAGTGTTCCTGTCTACTCATCCTACTGCTGACTATCGTGATGCTTCGACCTTCCCTACCAAATCGCAGGTGAAATTGTTCGCATCTCAATTGAAAGCTAAACATAAAAAGGTGAAACCAGAAGCATAAAAGGTTAGCAATTGCTTAATTAATGATGCTGAGAATGTGGCTTTATTGATATATACTGAATTTACTCCTAGTGGGTAGATCTTAGTACTAGCTAGTATGGAGACTTGAGAATGCTGTATTTCACTTTAAAATTTGTCAATTAACAAACAAAAACTTGTCTCAAAAAGATACATCTAAAAACCACCCTCTTTAGGAGTTTACAGATTGAACTTACATTTTAAACTCAACAAATTGTAGTGTAAGGACACCCCTTGGCTCCTGAGGAACATGTTAATAAAAATATCATACCCTTCCAAAATATAAAGTACATATATTTACTTAAAACTGTTATATGTTTATAGTTAATTTTTTCAAATATATTAGCTATGACAGATTACCATTGAAAACAAGCTCTAGAACCCACTAATATGGCTGATGATTGGTTTGTACATACTTTTCTAATTAGACTATATTCTAGCAATAAATTTTAACTGACAAGAACTGTTAAGAATGTTATTTTGGCTCTCGTAAGTTTTAAAAACATTGTGATTCAGCCTTGTTTGTTTTGTCTAAATGATTACTCTTAATATTTTTTAATTACCGTTTTTTTAACCATTTTATTTTGGTTAATCACTGTTAATTAAAAAAGCTTATTAATGATATAATTAATACATTAACATTTGTAAATCTATCGGATATTCGTTGACATGATGTTGTATCTACAAACATTGCCATCAAAACACAATAATTAAGATCCTTTTTAATTTTTAAAATCTTTAAAAATACACAAATAGAAATGAAATAATTTGGGAATAAATTTCAAGTCTTTTTTTTTTGATAGAGTCAAGTGGTAAATATAGTTTGGGTAAAATGTACGACATATTTTTGTATGTGGTAATTGAGATCTGGCACGATAATAAATGTTAGTTATCTTTTGAAATAAAAAAATGAGTAAAGTAAAAATGCTTTTAATATTTCACATAAGAAAACAATATATGTTTAGTAAATTTGACAGTTAACTATCAGAAATAAATAAATAAACATTGAAATACACATATGGACTGTTAACAACTATATTTGCGTCACTACGTACACAATTTAACGAAATATGTAAAATACATTCTGAATCTGGAGAAACGTCATATTTTCAAATTTTCACGAGTATCATAAAATCCTAGCTAGAATATAGGGAAATCTGATTATCTTTTAATTATTATGAGTATATATATGCATTAAGCTTTAATCATAGTTCAATACATATATGGTCAAAGATAATCAGATGTAGCTATATTCTAGACATTACAAAGCACAACTATCGTTATTAAATAATATCAATGCCACCAAAGTTCATTAGGTTAGGTGATTTGATACGTAAGTGTATACCACTGGAAACCATGCACTTACATTCGACAGACTTTGCTGTCCAGTGAATAAGAAAATGTTTGTTAATATTAATCATATTGGGCAGTCACGTAAATCATATTTTGGTGAAGCAGGTATGTTTAAAGTGAATCAAAGAGTTGCCGAGGCAACTTGGCTCAATTCTCCATCATAAACTGCTTAGAAGTTTATCGTTTGCTTCCAAGCATCCCTTTCTTCTGAAAATTGCTAATATGTTGAGCATCATGGGGATACACAGTCACTCATATATTTACTCCTCTCAGGAGAAGTTCTGTCCAACTGCACCTGTTTATGGCAAAAATTAATGGTTGTGAGCCTGCATCCCTATATTGTATGGCATTCATAATTATACCTCTCAGTATAAGGTCAGTGTGGCCACTATGGTTACTCCTTGGTCAAACAACTATGCCATCACTGTTATATGTGTGGCTTTCCACCATGTAAGTGGGGTTGAATCTGATCTTGTCCAGTCTCCAAATGCGTACACATCCAACCTTGGACAAGACATTTTCCCAATTATTCTTGAAAACACTGCAGATAAGTTGTCCTGTGATGATAGGTTAGAGAAATGAATACCATTAGTTGTCTAGCATAAAAGATCGACCTTATGAAGCCCATTTTCCTTACCACTTGTTCTGTTTGTGCTCTGAACTGTCGATTCAGTTGGGAAGCTGAGGTTTACAAGCTGCACTGAGCTTATTTATCAAACAGTAGTGATATGGCAGGGTGGTTTACAACTATCTATATGGTCCACGTCTCTACCAGATCACTTCTGTTTGACAAGCTCAGTGCGACCAGTGGAGCATACTGTTGGTCCATATCTTGTTAAGTATACTTTGTGAGATTTGTAACTACTCTGAAACGATTTTTCACATTTAACTGACTTCTAATGAACCTACTGTTCCCCACCTCATGGAAATGTTCATACATTTTTATTGAGTCTTATCATGTTTCACAATTAATCTGGATCTCTCTACATGTGAGTGAGAAGTTACTGTTTTCTTCTTCTTTATATATCAATGAAATATACACATTTCATCACACAGTCAATTATCTGACCTTTGCCTTGCATAAAAATGAACTCAGCAGTGTCATTAAAGTTACTTAAAAAAATAAGTTGTGTTTGTCATAGGTAGAACATACAAAACTCTGACTGTACCTTAACTGTTTAGAGCAGTATGCGAGTGTGTACACATATATATATAAAAATGGCTTTTGTGACATAAATATTTGTCAGATGTTTATAGCTTAAATATATCACGTATTGCGTTTCCACACATAAAAAAAAGTTTTATATTCTTCAATTTAACAGATCTGGCCATTACCTCAGTTTGAAGTCCCTGAGACGTTCTGTATTTTCAACTGAGGAGAGAAACTCAGGATCATGCTTACAAAGCTGATGAAATGTGTACAAAAGACATTCAACATGAGACAGCTGCAGAGATGGTTCATGAGACGGAGTGGAATTTTCAACATTCTCATTAGATGGCGGTGGAGGTACGTATTCCTCAAAAACAAAAGAAATTTGTTTGGTGTAAAAATCTGCACGCCCGTATTCAAACTATCCAAATGTCTCTCAGTACAAAATTATGTTTCCGCTTATTTGGAAATAACGAGTTTACTAGATGATACAAGACTAAAATACCCTCAGTAAAAAAAACACACTGTATTCAAAAATAAGAGGGAACTTTGCAAGTTAATACACTGTATAACACTGAAACATAACAATTTGTTTGGTGTAAGAGTCTGCACCCCCGTATTCAAACTATCCAAATGTCTCTCAGTACAAAATTATGTTTCCGCTTATTTGGAAATAACGAGTTTACTAGATGATACAAGTCTAAAATACCCTCAGTAAAAAAAACACTGTATTCAAAAATACAAAAATAAAAGGGAACTTTGCAAGTTAATACACTGTATAACACTGAAACATAACAAATTTTACTTTAATTGTATGCAACTTTGAAATATAATGTGGCTGTGAGGTAAGCATCATTATTGCTTTTTGAAACTCAATTCCAGAAAATTCTCGTTTATCTGATGAAAAACTGAATTTTCCTACTCTTCTCTAAGGTCCCAGTTTGCATAATGCTTGTCAAAAAACTATTATTTTTGTCATCATTTTGAAAACTAGTTATGTAAAGATATTATTTTTTGTTTTTCAAAATGTTGATCGAAATAAAATTTGAAATACTGAAAAAAGAATTAAACATTAAATACGAATAAATATAAATAAAAGACAATGCAATAAAAGTACTGTTAAAATGTCACAGAGGCTCTTATTATAGACATCCGATTATTATTTTAAAGAAAAATCAAGTTGGTCATCATTACTTACCAAATATTAACAGAGTACAAAAAGACAAATCATTATTGTGACAAAATTTTAAGGCACTTATGCACTTGCATAAATATATACAAAAATAAAAACAAAATAGATGTATACTCAGAATAAACAACAATAAAAATAAACACTCTACTTACTGTTAAATACAAATTACACATTTTAACTAAAAAATATTACTTCCATCTTTTAAAAGTGGGTTTGATTCTTGCATTGAAACTGTTCTTAAAGCCTTAATAAATTTGTCTGTAAAAAGTCTTCCCTACCTTCAGAAACCAATTTAAGGAAGTAAACCTATAAGTAAAATGTTTTCCTTCTTGACAGTCAAAGAAGTAAACTTGTTTTAAAACACCTTTACACCTAGGGAACTCACTTTAACCATACATGTACAGTGGGGGGGGGGGGGGTCAAAGTGCAAATGTCATGACCATTTTGGAAAGTTATATTCAAATTTAATTAAACGATGACCATTTTGCAGGGTTACAAAAAAAAATTAATTAAACAACTTTATTATGAATTTACACAAGTAAACGTGTCTATAATTCAAATTTTAATATTATGTAAGTTTCAATTTCTTAATTTCAGGAGGAAATATTTAAATAAATTATCTATTTTCATTTCTCTGTCATCTCTCTGCCTATGAAATCTCCTTTACAGATTTTCTTTATTCTGTGGTTAAGAATGTTCACCAATTAAATACACCAACTAAGGATACTGACAGACCAGAATTTAAAATAAAAACTCCCATCTTCTTTATTTGCAGATATATCACTATATTTCTTACCCCCACCACACAAGCTCTTCCCAGCTCTTCGTGCTTTTCAAATCACTTATCTTCTCATGCATATTTATCAATGGTACATGTTTATTACCAATAGAAATGTCATTTTGTAAATTACATGATTACGATGACTGTATGTTAATTTATCTTTTAAAAAGATAAATTTTGCAAGCAATTTCATTGTGTGCAGACTGAAGTCAGTATTCCAAGAAGTAATTAAATTTTGTAACCTATTTATAGTTTAGTTAGAAAGCCAGTTAAATTATAGTAGTTTTGAGGCATTCTATTTCACTGTTTGAATTATTGTTTGTTTTAAAAATGCATGCTTGAAAGCTACATCAATTATTTCTTGGATAACCAAAACATGTGAAAAAAAGTAGTCTTACTGATGTACATTTTTGAGTTCAAAATGGCTTATTTGGTAAGTTAGCTTTTATATATGGAAACATCTGTTACCTGAGTTCTTGCACAGATCTTAATAGATAATGTTGATAAATAGAAACATTGGCACATGTAGATACGTAGATCTTGAAAGTCGAGTTGTTCAAAATTTGAAAATAGCGTTGATAACTGTACCAATTGTTGGTTGAAATGTTGCAAAGGAAATATCTGCTGAAGCTTTTTGCCAGACACTAATCATAGCAGAACCATCTGGTAAATGATCTATAGGAAATAGTACAGCTTATAACATGAATCAGATCAACGTGGACCGGTAAGGCAATCACTGATTGGCATGTCCTTTAGCCAATCAAGAAATGTTACAGACCTACTGAAGGATGTGTAGATTGTATAGGAATTATTTTTGGTGGCAAAGGACAGGGTTATGTGTTTTAATAAAGGTGGCTTCCAAAATATAGAAATGAAAGGTCGACCGACCATTTGCAATATTTTCAAACCTGCTATCCGTGTAGTTGTCAGCATAAGTCGGGTTCTCTAGTAAATGCTG